CTGCTCTGGAAAACATGCGTCCTTAGATTGACACTGGGGATGATCACAATTTTGGGGTAAAATGCCACCCACTAAATACAGGGGTATCACTATCCTCTCACAGGGATATAAAAGAGTAGCATAAAGATAGCATAAAGACACACAGACATAAAAGAGTAGCATAAAGATAGTAATTAAATTGATAAAATAATATTATCTAATATTTTTGTTTGTTATTCTCTAAATACTTCATACATATTAGTTTACATGATATTATTTAATCTTTAAAAGAAATCTGGCTGGGCACAGTGGCTCATGCCTATAATCTCGGCACTTTGGGATATGGAGGCTAGGGGATTGCCTGAGCCCATGGGTTCGAGAACACCTAGGCAACTCGGTGAGACCTCATCTTTACAATAAATTAAATGATTAGCCAGGTGTGGTGGCACACACCTGTAGTTCCAGCTATTTGGAAGGCTGAGGTGGAAGGATAGCCTAAGGCCAGCATGTCGAGACTGCACTGGCCATGAGTGTGCCACTGCACTCCTACCTGGGTGACAGATTGAGACGCAGACTCAAAAAATCAAAATCAAAATCATAGAACTCCATAAGGTAGTTACTATCATAATCCCCATTTTATAGATGAACAAAATGAGGTATGTATAGAGGGGTGAAGTAGAAAAACTGGGATAGAAATATTACAACATTCAAATAAGAATATATGCAATAATTACAGCATTTATGTATGTACATACAGAAGATTTCTGCTACATCTGGCACAATATATTACTACATGTACTATACAGATTTATAAGGCTCTCAAGTGGTTACACAGAATGAAGAATGCCAGTGAAAATTACAATACTGGCTGGGCTCAGTGGCTCAGCCTGGAATCCTGCACCTTTGGGAGGCTGAGGTGAGTGGATTGCCTGAGTCCGCAGGTTCGAGACCCGCCTGGGCAGCGAGACCTCATCTCTACAATAAATCAAAAAATCAGCTGGGCGTGGTAGCGCATGCCTGTAATTCTGGCTACTTGGAAGGATCACCAGAGCCCAGCAAGTCGAGGCTGCGGTGGCCGGGAGCGGCCACTGCACTCCAGTCTGGGCGACAGAGTGAGACTCCAACTCTAAAAAAAAAAGAAAGAAAGAAAATTACAATACTGGTGTAAAGCAATGATCTTTTTGTCTCATCTACAAAAAGATGATTCACCACTTGATTGCCACCCCTGGAAAATGATTCACCATGGAGGGAAAGAACAGTCCTGGACATGAGAAGGTGGGGGAGAGGAAAGCATATGTTTTTGCCAGTTGTACCCCAGGGATCCTAAGACTGCTAACCCACCACAGGCCTCTGTCACTTCATTTGGGTTTGGAGCATTTTGGATAGTTGGCTCTTAAACTTTCTGAAAAGAGTTTTTGCCAAGACCCAGGAATAATTTTTGAAAATCCATCATTTTTAGGTAAAGTGTTCTGTCAGCCTCACCAGTTTTCCAATGACTATGAACCAACTCAGCCTACACAAACGTGTGATTCCAAGCAGTCACTCCAGTCACACTCTCGTTTATTGTCAACTTCCACCGCCAGCCAGGATGAAAGCACTGCCTGCAAACATGTCTTCCCACTTTCATGGTCTGTCCAACTCTGCAATTCCTTCACTATGAGCACTTGAAACCTTCCTTTCAAGGCTTACGTCCTACCTGTTATGGGCTGAATTGTGCCTCCCCAAAACTTATATGTTGAAATCTTAACTCTGAGTACTTCAGAATGTGACTGCATTTGGAGATAGTAGTTTTGAAGAGGTGATTAACGTTAACTGAGGTCATTAAGGTGGGCCCTAATCTAATACAACTATTTCCTTGTAAGAAGAGTTTAGGACACAGACGTGTACAGAGGGAATTCTGCCAGCCAGCAGACTGCTTTCAGACTCAAACTGCAATATCAACTCTTTCCTGGTGGCTTACCCTGCAGATTTTGGACTTGCTCACCACCCAACCATATGAGTCAATTCCTTAAAATAAGTTCCTTTTTCTCCCTCTTCTTCTCCCTGTTCGATAGACCCCCTCATGCTACCATTTCTGAAGTTTCTTATGTCCTCAGCTTCTTATGTGTCCTATTAGTTCCATTTTTCTGAAGAATCCTAATGCACTACCTATCACTTTTCCTACCTCTTTTCATAAACCATATTCTTCACCTACTCACTCTTCCCTAGGAATACAACTTCTCTTTGGTTAAAACTGTCTGCAAATGATAGGAATCTAACCCAAACTAGATTAGGGAAACAAAGCTAACTAACAAAACACACACACACACACACACACACACACACACACACACACACACACCATGGAAGGATATTGGAAGGATTTGCAACACTCAAAGTCACAAGAGGGCTGAGTTTCAGTAACAACTGGAATCTGGGTCTTGAATTCCTCAGGATTCTCTCTTCTTATCTTGACTTTTTTCTTTGTACTACAATATTGCAATGGGTATGCTTGTTGATATTGTTTTCACACTTAGTGTTTCTCCTGGACACATTTTCTGAAATGAAATTATTAGATGATAAGGTTCACAAATTTCAAATTTTTAATAAATAGCACCAAAATGCTCTCCAAAATATTCACCAGTTATAGTCCCATGAGTGTGTTCCATTTTTGAAATAGAAAAATATATATGCAAATCAAGTGCTCAGCATGGGCAGTAATTTTCTACTTTGAGTTTTTGCTCTTTGGGTACGGAATATAGCTGGGCACTACCATCCTCCCCAGGCTCTGGTTGCCTTTTCTGCAACCAGCTGCATTGCTGGCTGTAACTGGTACCTTTATTTTTGGCTCCTATTGGAAGCAAACTACTCTAATGCTTTTTTGATGCGGAAATCATCTTAAAGAAGAAAGAATCAATACTTCCAGGAAAATTCAAAGACTGCAAATCTAGAAAGCTCAGAGAAAAAAAAAATTAAAAGGTTAAAAACCCTCGGTAATACTCATGTTCAATAAAAAACAAAAATGTTCTCCCATTCTGTGGGTTGCCTTTTCATTCTGTCAATATTTTTTCCCTTTGATGCACAGGAGTTTTTAAGTTTGATACTGTTCTACTTGTTTATTTTCCTAATGTTGCCCCTGCACTCTGACCTTTAACCACTGTGACCATTGTACCATATTGTTCAACCCAATCATACTAAACAGCTACTTGCACAGAATATGTAGCTGTGGAATAAGAAATATATATATACATATATACACTTGTTTCTGCCCTTGGTTCCTGGCATGAGCTTCTAAAACCCTTGAAATTTTCTGAGCAGTAGGAGTGTTAGGAGCATCTTGAATTCTAATATTTGATCTTTGACCTTGGTTCCTGACACAAAGCTCCTAAATCCCTTGAAATTTCCTGGGTGAAAAGAGGGTCTTTTGTTCTATTGAAGTGACTTATTTTTTTAGTAGAGTTTCCACTCTGTCATCCAGGGTGAAGTGGCATGATCATGACTCACTGCAGCCTGACCTTCTGGAGTCAGGAGATTCTTCCGCCTCAGCCTCCTGAGTAGCTGGGACTACAGCTGTGCACCACCATGACTGGCTAATTTTTTAAAAAATTGTAGAGAACAAAATTGTAAACAAAAAATTGTAAAAAATTTTTTAAAAAATTGTTTTGCTGTGTTGCCTAAGATGGTCTCAAACTCCTACGTTCAAGCAATCCTCCTCCTTTGGTCTCCCAGAATGCTGCGATTACAGGTGTGAGCCACTGTACCCAGCCTTGAAGTGACTCTTGATGGGTTCCTGGATAGCTTCTGTCTGGGAGCTGGTCACCAGAAAGACCAAGCCATGATTAGAAGCTTGAAACTTTCAATTCCCTCATCCTCCAGGGAGGGAAGAGGGGCTGGAGATTGAATTAATAATCAATCATGCCTACATGATGAAGCCTCTATAAAAGTTTCTAAAATACAGGGTTTAGAGAGTTTCTCTTTTGGTGAGCACATCTATGTTCCAAAATAGTGGCACACCCCAGCTCCATGAGGATAGAAGCTCCTGTGTTCCAGCCCCTTCTGGACCTTGCCTTATGTATCTCTTCATCTGGCTGTTTGTCTATATATGCCTTACCATATTTTTAATTACATAATAAACTGGTAAAGAAACTGTTTCCCTCAGTTCTGTGAGCCATTGGAACAAATTATGGAACCCAGGGAAAAGGTCGTAGGAACCCCAATGTATAAGTATTTGTCAGAAGTACAGAAGGCCCAGATTTGTGGTTGGCATCTGAAATGGGAACAGCCTTGTAGGACTGAGCCTTTAACCTGCAGGATCTGATGTTAACTCCAGGTAGATAGTGTCAGAATGAAATTGACTCGTAGAACGCACAGCTGGAGAACTGCTTGACATGGGGGAATAAAACAAAACAACTCACATATTTGGTTTCAGAAATATTGAGACACTGAGTGTAGAAAGAAAAATATGTTTTTCTTCTTCTAATAGCATGTGTACTTGTTCTGCGGCTTTCTTACCACATTTTTTTCTTGCACTTTAAAACTTTCTTGTGTGTGTGGAAGGCAGGGGGTTGAAGGCAGGAAGTCTTCAACTTCAAGATACCAAGTCTTGCCTGTGGTATATTTAGAAACTTTCTTGGATTGAGTGTTGCTTGCAGATAATTACCCCATTTTGTTGTTGCTGTTTAAAGTTGATTCTTAGTGATTGCAGATTTAGAAGGATCTCTTTATCTTGTCTGGATTGAAACTCATCTAGAACTTTCTATATACTGGCCAGCAAGGCAGCACAGGGAGTGCTGTGGGAATAAAACCCAAGATGTGTTTCCCCGTTATTTTCCTTATCAGCACAACGGTAACCTCTACCTGGGGTTTTCACAAGGACACACCAAAGGGATACATAATAGAAAGACTTATCTATAAAGCAGACTTAACTCCTAATTGGATTTGTTCCTAATTGGTTAGCAGAAACAGATTCTGGGGACTGATGACCATTTCACGAGAAGATGAAACAATTTCCTTCCTCTTTTTTAAGTTTCTCTCTTAAACCCCACTGGTCTCTGGCTCAGTTCTGGGATGACTTTGGAGACCCAAATGTTTCGGAATGTATATCCTGGCAACCTGTGGCTGCTTCAACCACTGACAGTTTTGTTGCTGCTGGGTGAGTAAGGGTCGTTCTGAAAAAGGGCGATTTCAGCCACCCCTCCTGCCTGGACTCCAGGCACCAGAGTGGTGAGGAACATGCTTGGAGCTTGGAAGCAGGGAACAAATGAAAAGGGGAGACAGCACCTTGAATTCTCAATTGTCTCAGTGGCTCCTAAGATCAGTCTTGAGAAGTGTATTCTATACCAAACATTCATGCTTGCTTTGTAGCCACGAGGAGGGATAGGGATGAGACAAGGATAGGACGATGAGTACTTTTACAAGAGATCAACTGGAAACAGGCTCTTGAGATGGGTCCTGGGGAAAGAAGCAGCCCAAGCTTAGTTCCCTGCCCCTCTCACATGCACACACCTAAGTGTGCTCTTATTGCCTCCTGTTCCACGCTGATCCACCCTTTCCTCTTTTATAGCTTCTGCAGACGGACAAACTGGTGAGTTTGCTCTTTGCTTTCCTATTTTGACAGTGTTATTGCCTCATAATGTGATGGGTACGTACTATGTAGGGAAATGTCTGCTCTACCAAGAATCAGGCTTCGGTTCAGTAAGGGCAGTTTTCCCATTTTGGTGGGGTCTGGGATTTGATTGTTGGTAAGAGTCCTACTGGATCCACCGAAGACCCAAGAGAAAGAGATTGTTGCAAAGGTAGATCTTTAACTGGGTCTATACTAGACTCTCTGATTGATGCCTGATCTCCTCTGGGAGCTCCTTTGGAGTCCATGGTCCTTTCAAGGTTATTTACTCACATCCCTTTCTGCTCTCTGTCCCTCAGCAGTTCTCTCTAAGGCTGTGGTAAAACTCCAGCCCCCATGGATCAACGTGCTCCAGGAGGACTTCGTGACTCTGACATGCTGGGGGGCTCAAATCCCTGGGAATGACTCCACTCGGTGGTTCTACAATGGGAGTTCTATCCCCACCCAGGTCCAGCCCAACTTCACGTTTAAGGCCAAGAACAGTGACAGTGGGGAGTACAGGTGCCAGACGGGCCAAAGCAGCCTCAGCGACCCTGTGCACCTGGACGTGCTTTCTGGTCAGTGAAGGAAAGACCCCGGGAGACTCCGGGAAGACCTGGAGAGGTGGAATCTGCTTACACAGCAGGGGCTTGCAGGAAAGGGTGGCCTGTTTACTGAGAAGCATTGCTGTGAGTTGCCGATTCATTTCCCATTTCACCCACCCTTCAGAAATTTTGCATGACTGGTGGGTGTGGACATTTCTGACAAATTTCTCAGCATGTATGAATGACTGTTTTTGTCTCAGTCTGGATTGAGCAAGAAGGTTAGAAGGGTCACAAACAAGCAGCTGAGTGTGAGAGAAGCAGAAGGAAATCCCAACACCATAAAATACTTCCATTTTTTTGGTAGTATTGAAAAGCACAAACAAACCACAATTGAATCCTAGCCCTGAAAATTTACCAGCTACATAAACATGATGAATTTGTTTAACCCTTGGGTCTCAGCTTTCTCATCTGCTCATTGGGGTGACCAATGCCTCTCTTGTACGTTTATGGTGAGAACTGGCATTTTCCTTCCCCCTTGTCCCCTTCTCCACATTTTCATGGTGTTGGGTACTGTGCTCTGTCTTTTCTTCCACCAGATTGTGGGCAACTTGAGGTGAAAGTTGTGTCTTATCCATGTTTGTATTTTCAACACATGAAGCAGGGCCGAGCTTAGTAAATGTTTCGCTGAAGAGGTCAATGTCTTTACAAAACTCCTGGCAAAAAGTAGTCTCTCCAAAAAGAAAAGTTACAATGGCATTCTGATGAATATTGCCACTGTTACTCTTCACTTAGTTCCTTTCCTTCACCTGATTCCCAAATGTTCCTCAAAAGCACACAGCAGCTAGGCATGGTGTCTCATGCCTGTAATCCTAGCACTTTGAGAGGCCAAAGTAAGAGGATCGCCTGAGCCCAGGGGTTTGAGGCCAAAATGGGCAAGTTGACAAGACCTTGTGTCTGCAATAAATTAAAAATTAACCGAATGTGGTGGTGTGCTCCTGTGGTTCCAGGTACTTGGAAAACTCTCTTGAGCCTAGCAGATTGAGGTTGTGGTGGTTGTGAGCATGCCACTGCACTCCAGCCTGGGCAATAGAGTGACACTTCGACTCAAAAAAAAAAAAGGACACAGTAAGCTAATGACCCGCCTGTGACACTCTGCCTTCAGACAAAGACCATGCTGGAGCTATGCTCCAAATTTTCCAGCATTCCTCATGTAAATTTATCAAGTGGCACTCAGTAGGTAACATTTGTTCTAAGCTCATGACTTTCTACTGTCCCCAAAGACATATGTCTCTGCTGTGTCCTCCTCACATGTCATCTCCTCAATCAGACTGGATTCTTGAGGTTGCTTGTGTCCTTCCCATAGTGGACAGTCATGCCAGAAATTATTATAGATAAAATGGCATTATCCATGCCCATTTTCAAGAATGAGGAAAGTGTACAGATCTCATAAATGGTGGAGCCAGAATTAGAGTACTGAACAGTCTGATTTCAGCCTTATGTTGTTCCCTCTGCACATCACGTCCCACCAGAAAGGATGGTCTGGGTCTCAGAGTTGAGCAAAGACCTCCTGGTCTTGTGGTCTATTTGTGTCTTTCAGGGTGGCTGCTGCTTCAGACCCCTCACCTGAAGTTCCAGGAGGGGGAAACCATCCCGTTGAGGTGCCATAGCTGGAGGGACAAGCCTCTGGTCAAGGTCACATTCTATCAAAATGGAAAATCCAAGAAGTTTTCCCGTTTGGATTCTAACTTCTCCATCCTACGAGCAAACCGCAGCCACAGTGGTGATTACCACTGCACGGGAAACATAGGATACACGCAGCACTCATCCCAGCCTGTGACCATCACTGTCCAAGGTATGGGTACTCTGCTGAGATGCAGGAGGGGAAGAGAGAGTTGACAAGGGCTGAGGTCACCTGAGCCTTCATGGAGATCTGAGAAATGCCACAGCAGCAAAATTGAGCACTGGAACAAGGAGAAGCAGTGTGGAGGCCTGGTTAAGGATTAGCTAGTGGGAAGGAGTATGAACCAGAGCACAGAGCCCTCAGCTTCCAGATGAGAGGTGACAAGGCTGTCATCCCACGCTGACATGCAGGCCCCCCACTAAAGACAGCAACGAAGCAGAGCTCCCTCCGAGGTGCAGAGCTTCCCAGAGCTCCTGGACATTCCTAAGGGCTCAGGCTTGCCTCGCTCCTTCTCATGGCTCATGTTCTGGACACTCACTCCAGAAGACCTAAGCAGTTCGAGGCTGGGCTCCATAGAGAGAGATGGCTCCAGCTACGGGAGGCTTCAGGCTCACCCACCACACCCTCACCGGAGGCTCCCTCTGCCCCCACACACTCACCAGTGTACCTTTATTAGTCTGGTGGAGAAACTGGGTATGGGGGAGACACAAGCCCAGCCACAAAAACCCTGCTAGGTGAGTTTAGGGGTGTCATGAAGATTGCACCGGTGAGCGACCCAGACACGGTGCTTCAACTCTGCGTGACGTGCCTGGGACACTGCACAGAGGATGGTGGGAGGGTGGAGGTGGGACGGGGAGAGGACTGCCTGTCCTGAGGTCTGTCTTCCTAGAGTCCAGCTTGAGCAGCTCTTCGCTGACGGTGATCATCGTGGCTGTGGTCACTGGGATTGCTGTTGCAGTGATTGTTGCTGTCATAGCAGGCTTGATCTACTGCAGGCAAAAATGGATTTCAGGTTTGTAGCTCCTCTTGGTCGCTCTTCTTATCATTCACCACTAGATCAAGGCCCTAGTCTCGGACATTGCCAGAATCCCTATCTTTGTTCAAGACAAGCATTCGGATAGAGATCCACATCTCGTACATTCATTCACTTACTAGTTCACTTATTCAATGAGACTTGAACAAAGTTGTTTCTGTGTCTGGCAATGACACTGAGTGGCATCAAGATGAGGAAGTCCTGATGGGGAGATGGGGAGTTCTCAGCACTGTGGGGAAGACAGAAGTTCACATAGATCATAAGATCTGATAAGAGCAAGATAGAGAAATGGAAAGGCTGCACTGAGGGTTCAGAAGAGGCTCCACAGTCTGGCACAGACTGGGGCAGTTGGAGAATGTTTCACAGGGCCGTGCTGTAGTGTAGTGATAGAAGCACACCTGGTGGGACCAGCCTGCCTGGATTCAAGTCTCAGTTTCACAGCTCACCAGCCATGTGGCCTTGGTGAGTTACTCACCTCTTTGTGCCTCAGTTTCCTCATGTGGAAAATGGGGGCTCTAATAGGATCCACCTCACAGGATTGTTGTGAAAATGAATGAGATTGAAGCTTTTACACCAGCGCCCAACAGAGAGTAACGGTACATAAGTATGAATTGCTATACTGTGGGGGAGGTGGTATGTGAGGGTAGCCGTTAACTGGGCAAGAGTTCACTCTAGGCACAGGCCAGGGCATGGAATAAGAATGGTTGTGGCTTGAAGGGAGGTTGAGAAAGAAGTAAGAAGATGTGTAAGTCACTGAGAAAGAGAAAATAATGACTAATACCTCAAAAAGCACTCTGCAATTGGTTCATAGCCAGGACTGCAAGTGACTAGTCATAAATAAATAGAGAGAGAAACTTATGAGAGAAAGAGGTGTGATTTTACAAGGCAAAGCAAGTCTAAGACAGATGTCCTGAGCAGGAGAGCTGGGGAGTGGGAGAAGACAGGGCATTTGTAGAGGGAGATTCTGTGTTGGTCCTAACCCAGTCCTATCCTGGGTCCTCTGTCCTGAGGAATCAGGCCCCACCCCCTAATCCTACTAACCTCCCACGTGCCCCTCCTACCTCATCCTCCCTGAGGAGTCAGGTGAGTATAGCATTTCCTCTGGGGATTCAGTGATGCCCCACCCAGTGCTACCAGATGGACTGGTGCCAGCAAGAGGTGGCTTGTGTGAGTTCAGCTGAGAGCCAGGAGAGAAAGAATAAGGGCAAGTCAGAGGCTCAAATCACTTGGTCAGTTCTGAGTCGAACTCCTGGACCTGAAGAGGACCTCACGGAGATGAGAGAAAACTGGTCCCAGATAGAGAGGGGAGGACTCTGTCTGAATTTCTGGGACCAGGAATTTGGGGATATTTCCAGAAGAGGAATCAGAGATATTTGGGTCTTTCTGTGGGGTTTTGGTAGAACTGGCAAAGGATAGGGGTTAAGACTTGCAAGGCTGAGGCTAATAGGATTTAGGAGTAAGAGTCCAAGGGGAAGGAGAAGGAAGCCTAGGAGCAACACCCTAAATTTGTTGGGGGATCTGTCTTTGTAGAGTGATGGAGTGGGGGTGGCCAGGCTTAGTTCTCTGTGGAACATTAAGAAGAGATTTGGGCTTGAGAAGATTCTGGGGCACTAGTGGGCTTTACTCTGTGGGCAAAACTTGGTTTGATGTCTATCAACTTGTGTGCAGATATTGAATTCTAGCCTGTTTCTCCACAATCACACAGCAGAATCTGAAGTAAGTCATTCACCTTCATTGGGTTTAGTCACCTCACTGAAGAAATGAGTGGGTGGCCAGGATGACCTCTAAGCCCTTCTAGGTGTGATGTTCTGAGAGCCAGTGGCCATCCTCCCCCCAGGTGGGAGTGTGTAAAAGGCACAGGAGGATTTCAGGTAACTTCCTGACTGTGGTTAAAGTTAGAGCACAAAGGAACTGGAACTGTCTCTAGGGCCTTCCATGATAGAAATAGGCAGGAAAAAGTGACCCTACGAGACTGTACTTCAAATGCCTGGAGTATGACTCAGAGCAGAGCTAGCAGGTTTTAGAGTTTGAGCTAAATATCACTCATCCAGCTGTACTCTGAGCAAGGTTTGCTTGTGCATTGACTAGTCCCAATAGGGTTATGGTCTGGGGCCACACCAGGGTCAACCAGATCTGAAAAAGTCCAGACACAACTTGATGTGTTGTTCTGTCTACACTGGCATAAACACATTACACAAGGCATTTATAGCCAGGCACAAGGTATGATGCTGTCCCGAAAGGCATAGCTAGGTTGCTGGGATTGTTGAGGAATTTTAGAACAGGAATTCAGAATATGGTTTTCTGCAGAACTGGGGGCATTGCAAATAAAGACTCTGTGTGTCCAGGGAATGAGGACAGAGACTGGATGCACTGTCTCAGACTCTGGCCCAACTTCCTAAGAAATGCTGCTTTGCAGATACCCAGGCTGCTTTTCACACTGGCAAAGTGAGATTATGGCAGAAACTTGAGGGAATTTGGTGTGTTTTGGACATTCGTCAGAGAAAGAGAAAGTACTGTCTGCCTTCCTTTGTTCCTTCCTCTCTTCCTTCTCCCCTTTTTCTTTCTCTCCTCTCTTTCTCATTTTCACTCTTTCCTTTTTTTTTTTTATTGTCATGGGGTACCAGATTCTTCAGAGTTCAACAAAGATGCACTACATTTGGACAATGTAAAAATGGCCCTTAGTCTTCACTCCCTGAATTCATTGCCCAGCAGACATCTGGGCTTTACTTCACCCTAATACCGAACATTCCCCCATCCCTTTCCCAATACCTCACTTCCCCAAAGCTACCTCATTGCTTCTAGGAAACCTTAGCAATTCTCTGAAAATAATGAGGCAGAAAGGAGTGCTTCCCTGTGCCTTGTGGCCATTGAGGAAGGTTGTGTCTGGGATACCCCAAGTGTGGGTAAATGAGGCCACATTTACTCAGCTCTTGGTCTTCCAGGACTTTGTTGGGGTCTGTAGTCCTTGTCTTTAGCTTGGCTTTGGTTTTGCAACCTAGCAACTTGGGTAGGCCTTCTTCTATAGCAGGGTTCTGGCTGATATTTTTCTTTTTACCCACAGCCAATCCTACTGATCCTGACAAGGATGCCAAAATTCAGGTGAGTGATCTCAGCTCTCTCCTTTTTCTTCTCCCCTGCTTTCTCTTTTCTCACTTTTATTAAAACAAAATTAAAATGGAGACTGAGCTTGAAAAATTTCTGAGCAAACAAAATCACATAGGCCTTAGAAATAGCCTTAACTTCACTTAAACTGCAAATATAAGTGAAATTCAAATTGGGTTGTAACTACAAACATTGGCAAAACTTAACTTTGGACATATTTGGTACATGCTTATGTTAGAAATAAGTCTTAACCCCAGCCAGTCATATGCAGTCAACTAATCATGTGACTAGGGACATTCCAACTGGATACCTTCCACAACAGACAATTATGTTGTAACTGTAAACCAATCACATTTTTGTATTTTGCTTCCACATTTTCCTAGTGAATATTTGCCTCTGACATTTTGTCATTGGAATACTAAACCTCTTTTAGTTCCCCAATTGCTTCTTACTTAAAGAAACTCTAAAATTATATTGTGCCTCAGATTTTTCTTTAACAGTTGGTGTCAGAAGCAATATCTGAAGTAGACCCTTCCTGAAGATTCCCAAGTGCAATGTGTAACCAGGCATAGATACCCACTGAGTCAATTGTGCTCATTGCTTTCTTTCTTTCTTTCTTTTCTTTTTCTTTTTTGAGTTGGAGTCTCACTCTATCACCCAGGTTGGAGTGCACTGGCACGCTTATGGCCACTGCAGCCTCAACCTGCTGGGTTCAGGTGATCCTTCCGCCTCAGCCTTCCAAGTAGCTGGAACTACAGGCGTGCGTCACCATGCATGGCTAAGTTTTTTCATTTATTGAAGAGATGAGGTCTTGTCAAGTTGCCCAGGCTGATCTCAAACCCCTGGGCTCAGGCAATCCTCTTGTCTTGACCTCCCAAAGTGCTGGGATTACAGGTGTGAGCCACGGCACCCAGCCCATAACTTTCTCAATATGTTTGTGGGTCACTGGGTAAGTTCCTCTCAGATATCAGGCTCTGCAATCTGTGTCCTAGCTATCTGAATTTATTTGAGGAATTTTACTTCTAATTGGATGCAGAGATCAAACTGGATGTTTGAGAGATTAAACTTTGTGTTCTACAGGAAGTGGACTTTGTCCAGTATAGTGTACAGTTCCTAGATAAGGACTGATTTCCAGATTGGGATCAAAGGGTCAAAATCGGGTTATTAGTATTCGACAGGTTGAACTGGGTGTTCAAAAGGAACTGGACTGGGGTTTAGGTGAAGACTAAATTTCAGAAGGATAAGATATTATGGGTTTGTCAAAATCTACAGAATCTGGATCTCCTCCTCCCAAACCACCAGCAAGTTTTATGTTCCCATATTATGGACTCAGAACCTGTGCCTTACTAGATAAATAGGCGTACCCTACCAAAGGTACTTTAAAGTTACTGTGGCCATAGTGAGATCCATTTTTCCTTGGTATAAAGAGGCTTCCAAAGAAATTATTTTAAAAAATCTCTCTAAAGAAATCTCTACAGTGTGCAAATTAGAAATTATTCTAAACTTACTAGGCTCTTTGATTCCTTGTTTTTTTTTACCTGAATGTATTTGATGCTAACTTCCTCTAAAAAATGAGGTTCTCAAATGAGCCAGGAATATCATAACAAGTAAATTTAACTCTTGGTGTTGCACACATGAGCTATTATAAAGGAAACCATCTAAGGCCAAAAAGAAAATAGAGCAATTAGACCGGATGTCTCCTTAGCCACTTATCTAAAATTTAGTCCAACTCGCAATAAGATTGGCTACTGATAATAGGGGAAAATGTCCTAAAACTCATTCTTGGAGAAAACTTAACACTCTTTTTCTGTGTCTTTGAGATATGTAAATCTTTAAAATGTAGGCTTCAGGGAAATGAATTATCAGAAAGAAAAACATGAAGAGAAACTTTTTCGAAATAAACTGGCAAGTGAAAATTCTTAAAAGTCTTTTCCAAGAATATTAATAAAAAGCCTGGGCAACTTGGTGAGACCTCATCTCCACAATTAAAAAAAAAAATTTAGCCAGGCTTGGTGGCACATGCCTGTAGTTCCAGCTACTTGGAAGGCTGAGGCAGAAGGATCGTCTGAATCCAGCAGGTCAAGGCTGTGGTGGCCGTGAGTGTGCCATTGCATTCCAGTCTGAACGACAGAGTGAGACTCCAACTCAAAAAAAAAAAAAAAAAAAGTTTTAGCTATCTGAACTGCTAACTTTAAATCCCAGAAATACAACTTGGATCTAACTAGTGAGTTTTATATTATTGTACCTGGCACATGGCAACAATTTCAGAACAGAGGTCATGAATTTCTGATTGTATCTTTCTGTATGTTTATGTACGCCTACATATGTGTATGCTATTTATATGTAATACTGTTCTACCCTCGGATGGTATTAGAAAAAATATTAAAAGAGCTCTATTTAATTGGCTTAGTGAAAAACAAGCATTTGTATAAATCAAGTATTTTCTCAGAAAAGAAAGGACTTAACCAAAATGCTTTCCAAGTTCATATGACTTAAGTGATCTTTAATAAATAAGAATATTGATGATTTAATGAAAATAGATATTATACCTAGTTTTACTTGTCAGATAAGATCATGTAATCTCTTATAAAATTTGTCAGCAAAAAACATACCTTGAGATGACAGGTAGTTTTGTTTAACATTATGCTTGCCACTTAAACTAGACTAAGGTAAATTAAATGATAGTGTTTCTAGATCATTTCCAAATAAGATAAGCTACTAAAACAAAAATGGAACATTTATCTTTTTCTCCCTACCCGATTGTTCTAGAATTGGGAAACTCTTATTAGGTATTCTTATTTTCAATGTGGCTATTTACATAGGTTCTATAAGACTCTGTTCTCCTTGCAACAAGCACATAGTTGGGCAAGTCTTTGGCTTCACTTCTTACTCTAGAGAGGTTTATAAAAGTCTAATCTGAGATTTTTTATTACCAGATAGTTTTTAAAAACTGAGGTAGACTGATGCAAAGTCAATAAAGTCTCTTGAATATCATCAAAACTCTGACTAAAATACATTAAAAAATATACATAGAATTACTGTTCTTAATATACTTAATAAATAATCAGATCAAGTTTAACAAAACTAGGCTTATTTTGCAAAAAAAAAAATTAGCTTGTAATTTTTGGTAAAAATGGAAAATAAAAATATTTTTCACCAGAATAAAGAAGATTGTATTTTGATAGAAAACTATAGTGCACCTATTATCAAATTCTAGTCCTGTTCGTTGTCTTTGACGCTTTATTATCTCCTTATAAACTGGATTGACTCCTGAATTTTTTCTAGTTTCAGTAAAAACGAAAACTGCCCTTTCCCAAACCCTGCAAACTGAAACTGATTGACTTTAAGTTTCAGAGAGATCACTGTAGCAGAACATGTAAAGGCAATCTTCTTCCCTGTTGCTGTGTCACTCAGAGAGTTTACCAGAATACTTAGTGATGTAACCAAGATATTCAAATTGCAAACCAGGGAAGTTCAAGTGGCAACTGTCATCTTCATTCTACCATCTATACTTGCTTCAAACTCACGTCTAGGAATTATTTCGACTAGCTGTCCTCTGGACTTAAAAAACCAAGATAATAATATGCTCCAAATATTAACTTTTTCTTTTTTTTTCATAGAACAATGCCTTGAATTCCTTTCAAGCAATACAATCTGAAATGAACAATTTAGCTGCAATAGCACTCCAAAATAGAAGTTCTTGATACTTTAACAGCTTAGCAAGGAGAAGCTTGTGTTCATATTGATGTCAAAAGATAATTTACAACAGTTTTTGTTTAAAGATCTCGATTGGCTTTATGATGATTCTAGAACTGGGTAACACTTGATTCCTTAAAATAGAGTATGTGTTTCAGTGAGTTGAGCAGAGGAGATTGGTTTTATAGACAGAAAAAGGTTTGAAGAAAGCAGACACAAAGAACAAAAAGTGAATTGGTCATTTCAAAGTTGTGAAAGCCAGGAACACGGAAACAATAGAGAAATAACATGTTGGTTAACATTAGATTACTTCAGGTTTTGTGTGTGTGTGTGTGTGTGTGTGTGTGTGTGTGTGTGTGTGTGTAAGGTTTAAAGCAGAAGGAACTTTATTATTGTGCTGAATAAAACTGGCGTGTTACGGAAATGAGGCTGTTCTCTCTGTCTTCTGATGTCTCCAAAAACCAGATAACAATTTAGTTTCTGTTTGATGACTTGGCTTTAGCATGGGTGATTCCATTTTGATTTTTAGTCTGGTCTGTTGGGTTCTAGTATAGTTCAAAACAATGGTCTCCTATAATTTTTGTTTAACACAGATAAAAAAATGTTGTTTCTATGTTAATAAATTAGAAATTGTTGCCTCAAATTTAAAAGACTTTAAAGAGCAAATATGAACTTTTCATTACATAAGCACTGCCTCCTCCATTAATTTGTTCAGTTGTTTAAATCTTGCCTTCTGAGAATCTTTGCTCAAAAGAATTTTTCAACCCTTGGCTATTATTTTTCTTAAAATTATTGTATTTGCCTCCCTGGTGCACTGTAATTTCTTAAGGATTTTAAATGCTTTCTAGCAGACATTTGTACATCAAAGGAACAGACAACCTGAAAGAGCCAGTAATGACTATATAACTGATGATTGCAGCTACATGACTCTGAACTACGGTGGACCTACTGATAATGATAAAAACATCTACCTGACACTTCCTTCCAGAGACTACGTTAACAGTGATAACTAAGAGTAATGTTAGGCAATGTGGTCACACTCTCAGTTTGCTGAGGAAATAGCCAGAAAAGGGGGGATTGTCAAAGCAAAGTTAAAATGGAGACTGGGTCTGAAAAATTCCTGAGGAAGCAAAACCACTTAGGCCTTAGAAATAGCCTTAACTTCATTTAAACTGTAAATATAAGTGAAACTTCACCCGGGTCATAACTATAAACATAGGCAAAACTTAACTTGGATCATTTTTGGTAAATGCTTATGTTAGAAATAAGACAACCCCAGTCAATCATACGCAGCCAACTAACATAATCATGTGACTAAGGACCTTCTAATAAGATAGCCTTCTAAAAAACAACTATGCAACTGCAGACAGATCAAATGTCTTTATTTTGCTTCCACGTTTTGCCAATAATTACTTGCCTGTGATATTTTGTCATTGGAACACTAAACCTTTTTCCTGGTATTCCCCAATTCATAAATTGTTTCTTGCTTAAATAAACTCTTTAAAATTTTATTATGCCTCAGTTTTTTTCTTTTAACATCTTTTTTCTGTGCTCTCTCTGTGGATCACCACTGCTTGTTTCTGCTCTCTCTAGACTGAGAACACAATCACCTATCCACTTCTCATATACCTAGAAGCTCATGAGAAAGAAACAGAATCTGACTACCAGAAATGCATTTACTCTCCTTGTCTAGAGAGGCAAGGATCTGGTGTCTCCTGGCCTAAATTCCACCTGGGGAGGATATGGGATGTTGCAGTTTCAAAGTGGAAGGACTCTTCCAGAGTCATCTATGTGAGTCCTAAAGCCCCCATCCTGAAAGCCACAAACAATATGGCCCCAGATGACTGACGTACTTTCTGTGCCTGGGCACTTCTCAATATTAAGACTCTTCTGTTACATGTCCACACAGCCAATAAAGTTAATAAAATTACTGTAATCATGAGATTGCAGCAACATGGGAAATGCTTATGTTGCAGGTTACATAAGAATTATATAAGTAGATATGATTTCAGAAATGTTAAAATAGACCAACCTATGCCAACATATTAAAAGTAATTGTTTCAGGGTGATGGATTTATTGGCGATTTATATTTTCTTTCTTTCTTTTGCTATAAATATTATGCATTATTTTGATAATAAAATATTGTGACAACATTCTATTTACCTTTCCAAGGCTGTATGGGTTGGGCTATTGACTGAACTATCTGGGGTCTGTTTCTCTTCAATGAGAAGAATCTTGGAAAAGTAGTAATGGATAGGATGTGGGGGAGAGGAGAATTGGGAGTTTGGAATATAGGGTGAGTGCCTCTCTTCTTATAACTAAATACTCTTCTTTCAATGAACTTGTGTTCCTGTGGAAACTTCTTCTTTCCTCCCGTGACAAATAAAAACACTCATTTATTTCGCAGCACAGGTCCTCAGAAAGTCATACTCCAGATGAGTCCTCAGTGAGATTGCTGACTTCCTATTCTGCTGTTCTCCCAGTGTAGTTACCAGAGGATGTGACCTCAGAGAAGCCATCCCAGGCAGGTTAGAAACATGGCTGATGGCTTCTTTGGGGGTTTAATGAGTGCCCTTAAAGAGACTTCATTTTCCTGGGATATCAGATCATTATGCAACATTTTTCTTGCATTCAGAATTTAGCAGCTTTCTGTTGGATAGTTTCAATAGATTTCTAAGGGGGCTATGGAGACTCCATCTGCCCTTTAGCCTGCAGACCCAGGACAGGGACTCCTCTGATATACAAAACCTCAGTAAATTCTGCTTCTACATTCAAAATACATTCAGCAATAAAACTGCTTCTCAGTACCCTACTCCTACCACCCTGGTGCATTTTCTCTCACTTGGATGACTGCAGTAGCCTCCTGACTGGTCTCCTTGGACTCACCTTGCCATCCTACAGTCTAGTCTCACCATAACAGCCATCATGATCTTTAAAAATGCGTGTCACTTATTTGTCACCTATTTGCTCAAAACCATATAATAGCTTCCTCTTGCACTTAGAGTAAAAGCTAAAGTCTCTCCAATGTTATACAGGACACTACATGATCTTGCTTCTCATGCTCTTTCTGACCTTATCTCCTGCTCCTCCCTGCTTACTCTCGATCACTCTTGCCCTTCTTGGACATACCAACTATATTTCGGTCCAGAGCCTATGTCATTTCCTGCTTCTGGAATATTCTTCATTACAGCTATCCACATCATCCCTTATTATGTCCTTTAGTCTCTACTCAGATGTCGCCTTATCAGTGAGGTCTCCTTGAGCATTCACTGCAACTCCACTCCCCTACCATATACTAATCTTCCTTTCCTGCTTTATTGTTCTCCATTGTACTTATCACTAACTGATGTACTATGTTTGCTTGTTTAATGGTTTTTTTTGCCTGACTCCCTTCCCTCCCATTAGAATGTGAGTTCCAAGAGAGGCCTTTTTCTAGTTTTGTTCACTACCATATACTCAGAGCCTAGGTCAGTGTTTGGTGCATGATGAAGCACTCAGTAAATATTTGTGGAATGAGTACATTCTTTAACGTTTGAAATCAGAGACCTTTAAACCTAGAAAATCCTTAGAAACAATGTAGTCCAATCTTGTCATTTTAAAATTGAGAAAGCTGTGCCCAGATAGATGAAATGACTACATCTATCAAGGACATATAGGTAGTTGATGTTACAGACTTTTATATATACAGTTTGGATCATTCTATAGATTTTGTTCTATAGCTTGCTTTCTTTTTATACTCAATATTGGGTCACAAGCATTCTTTCACTTTACAATGTCTACTTAAATCATTACTTTAAGGTCTGTTCTACTTTTAAAGATACTCAAACTAAGCTACTAAACATAAATGGATATGTTTAAGTATATGTACAAAACTTGTATTGCATATACAAGCTCCCCTGCGCTTGAACCTCTCTACAGCCATCAATTTAAAAGGGGTGAATGATATTGGAAGCTTGCCTGTGTGAGGCTGTGCTTTCATAGCCTGTGTTAGAGCTATACTGCCATCTCTTGGGGACGGGTAGATAGGTTGGTCTGAGGCTGCTGAGGGGTGGGAGAAAAGATTGGAGGAGCCCAAACAAGGTAGTCACTGAATAAGCTAAGGCACATAGTGCCGGGCCGAGCCACCGTTTCCCTCAGCTAAAATGTCTCAGCCTCAGCAACCAGGCCTGGCCTGCCTAGAGGCTGAGAATGAATGAATGTACAGCTAACAGCTTCTCTGCCTCCTGGAGTTCTGAAATAGGTTACTTATTTTGGGGGGTACGGTTTGTCTAAACACTGCGGAAGTCATTCATTGCACACTCATTCAAACATCTCTGTTCCCTGGACTGATCATCTTCCCAGCACAGCTGATCTCTCTAGCAGCAGACTCTGTCAGTTCTTTCTCATTGGTATTCTGGGAGAGAGGACTGATCAAGAAATTCAGCCCTGGAGCAGACTGATCGCGGCTTCCTGACTCCCCTTTCCTCTTCGAAGGTTGAGTGGGTTTTAATTTGTTGTAGGAGAAAAAAGTCACTTATGGAGTAAGGCTTTTAGTTTCTCTTAAAAAAAAGTAGAAATTCCCTTCAAATTAAGCAAATGACGTTAAATAAAACTAAACCTTAGAGGCCTTTAACTCACTGATAAAGTATAAGGGAATATACCACGTGCCCTGTAAGCGTCATCCTCGTTAGTATAGTGGTAAGTATCCCCGCCTGTCACGCGGGAGACCGGGGTTCGATTCCCCGACGGGGAGGCTTCGTGCTGTTTTGCTTTCAAGTGTCCGAAATGTTTCTTTTTGGCTTTCAGTACAAATTCAAACAGCAGCCAAATCTATAGAAATGTCTTTGATTAAAGAATGTAGGGTAGGGCAGCCTCAATTCTCATGGACAAAAGCCTGATGGAAAATAGTGTGGCTTTATGGCCCTCTGAATCCGTCTTGTCCTCTGGCCTTAGGGGAGTAGGAAGTAGCAGTTTACTCTTCACCTGAATCCCAGGCTCCGGCGCGGAACCCACGTAGGCCACCGAGAAAAACGTATCCCTCGGGGATACGAACGTTGGGGCAGGTCTCCGAGAACAGGCGGGACATTCCCACCACACACTGCATCCTCCTCCCCGGGGTGCTGCCCTCTCTCCTGGGTGGAACGGCGAGGTCGCTCCCGAGTCCCAGAGCTACAGCGCAATGTCGCGGCTCCTCTAAGTGACCTGGTAAAGGAAGGGGAACCCAATCGAAAGAACCTAAAGTATTTGGTCAGTTGACTTTGTTAACTGAATAGCCATAAATCCTAGAATTAAAAGATAAATCAATCAGATGAACAAAACAGATGACTGGATTGATGGGGATAGGACTCGAGCCCGGTGCTCCCACGTGGTAGGCAAAGCACCCCACCAGCAACTCCACCGCCTGCATAGCCATCCCAGCAGTATTCCCTTACCCTTTCCTCTGTCTATGCCCACATTCCACACGTTTCGAAAACACTCTGCTTTCACGCTTCGAGATGAACATTTTAAAAAGCTTTACAAGAAAACCCACACGATTTCAACTCCGGGCTTTGAGGCCATAGCTCCATTCCGCAAGGTAACTCGTTTCCGCCTCGCCGAGCCGCTGGACTCACCCCCGCCCACCAAGGCCCCGGGCTGAGCGCCTGGAAGACCCGCCTCCAGCCAATCCCGAGGGAACCCGCTCTCCAGGGACGCGGCCGCCTGAGCGGGCTTCCGCCGCGCCCGAGCGCCCTCAGGACCCGCCGGGGGAAGCCGGAACTCGCTCCGCGGTTCTCCTCCGCGGCTGGGAGGCCGAGGCGGGCGGCGGCGCCGACGTGGCCGCCCGGCGCCCCGCCCCGCTGGGCCGGATCCGCCCGAACCTTCTCCCCGAGTCAGCGCGGGCCCCGCGGCTGAGTCAGCCGGGGCGGGCGGGGGCGCGCGGCTCTGGGGCTGCGGAGAAGGCGCGGGAAGGTTCGCGGCGGCGAGGGCGGGAGGCGGCGCGAACGCATAAAAAGCGCGGCGAGCGGAGCCGAGCGCACTCCGGCGGGGAGAAGCCGAGCGGGGAGCAGCGTCGCGGGGCGCCCCTCGGCTGCCGAGCGGCCCCGACCTCGGCCTCGAGCCTCCGACGCGGGGCCCGATAGGTGCCCGGGAGCGCGTGGAGCCGCAGCCATGTCCGCCTCGAGGGACCTGGCGATCGGCATCGACCTGGGCACCACGTACTCGTGCGTGGGCGTGTTCCAGCACGGCCGGGTGGAGATCCTCGCCAACGACCAGGGCAACCGCACCACGCCCAGCTACGTGGCCTTCACCGACACCGAGCGGCTGGTCGGCGACGCCGCCAAGAGTCAGGCGGCGCTGAACCCGCACAACACGGTGTTCGACGCCAAGCGGCTGATCGGGCGCAAGTTCGCCGACGCGACGGTGCAGTCAGACATGAAGCACTGGCCCTTCCAGGTGGTGAGTGAGGGTGGCAAGCCCAAAGTGCGGGTGTCCTACCGCGGGGAGGACAAGACGTTCTACCCCGAGGAGATCTCGTCCATGGTGCTGAGCAAGATGAAGGAGACGGCGGAGGCATACCTGGGGCAGCCCGTGAGGCACGCTGTGATCACGGTGCCCGCGTACTTCAACGACTCGCAGCGCCAGGCCACCAAGGACGCGGGTGCCATCGCGGGGCTCAACGTGCTGAGGATCATCAACGAGCCCACGGCGGCCGCCATTGCCTATGGGTTGGACCGGCGGGGCGCAGGAGAGCGCAACGTGCTCATTTTTGACCTGGGCGGGGGCACCTTCGACGTGTCGGTCCTCTCCATCGACGCGGGTGTCTTTGAGGTGAAGGCCACTGCTGGAGACACCCACCTGGGCGGAGAGGACTTCGACAACCGCCTGGTGAACCATTTCATGGAGGAGTTCCGGCGGAAGCATGGCAAGGACGTGAGCGGGAACAAGCGAGCCTTGCGCAGGCTGCGCACAGCCTGTGAGCGTGCCAAGCGCACCCTGTCCTCCAGCACCCAGGCGACCCTGGAGATCGACTCCCTGTTCGAGGGCGTGGACTTCTACACGTCCATCACTCGTGCCCGCTTTGAGGAACTGTGCTCAGACCTCTTCCGCAGCACCCTGGAGCCTGTGGAGAAGGCCCTGCGGGATGCCAAGCTGGACAAGGCCCAGATCCATGATGTGGTCCTGGTGGGAGGCTCCACCCGCATACCTAAGGTGCAGAAGCTGCTACAGGACTTCTTCAACGGCAGGGAGCTGAACAAGAGCATCAACCCTGATGAGGCTGTGGCCTATGGGGCTGCCGTGCAGGCGGCGGTCTTGATGGGGGACAAGTGTGAGAAGGTGCAGGATCTTCTGCTGCTGGATGTGGCTCCCTTGTCCCTGGGGCTGGAGACAGCAGGTGGAGTGATGACCACGCTGATTCAGAGGAATGCCACCATCCCCACCAAGCAGACCCAGACCTTCACCACCTACTGTGACAACCAGCCTGGGGTCCTGATCCAGGTGTATGAGGGTGAGAGGGCCATGACCAGGGATAACAACCTGCTGGGGCGCTTTGAACTCAGTGGGATCCCTCCTGCCCCACGTGGAGTCCCCCAGATTGAGGTGACCTTTGATATCGATGCCAACGGCATCTTGAGTGTGATGGCCACCGACAGGAGCACAGGCAAGGCTAACAAGATCACTATCACGAATGACAAGGGCCGACTGAGCAAGGAGGAGGTGGAGAGGATGGTTCGTGAGGCCGAACAGTACAAGGCTGAGGATGAGGCCCAGAGGGACAGGGTAGCTGCCAAAAATTCCCTGGAGGCCCATGTCTTCCATGTGAAGGGATCCTTGCAAGAGGAAAGCCTAAGGGACAAAATTCCCGAAGAAGACAGGCGTAAAGTACAAGACAAGTGCCAGGAAGTCCTTGCCTGGCTGGAGCACAACCAGTTGGCAGAGAAGGAGGAGTATGAGCATCAGAAGAGGGAGCTGGAGCAAGTCTGTCGCCCCATATTCTCCAGGCTCTATGGGGGGCCTGGTGTCCCTGGGGGCAGCAGTTGTGGGGCTCAAGCCCGCCAGGGGGACCCCAATACCGGTCCTATCATAGAGGAGGTCGATTAAATGGCCACACGTGATGAGTCAGCTGTGATTGTAAGGCTGGACTTACGGACCTACTAGACTCTTCTGTGACCCTGCCCTGTAACTACAGGGATGAAAGGCTGGGGGGGGGGGGCCTTCCTCCCAAAGCTGGAGGTTTTTTCCCAGTGTGTTTGTTTGCTGACTTCTTTTCCCCTTTAAATCCTCTTCTCCCACTTCAAACACAGTCATTAATTTATTAACACTTGTGTGGTACTTTTACATTTCTTTCACCTACATTTTGTTTATTTTGTTACTTGCACATATGGATTTTGTTATGTGAAATATAGTTGTAGATCTTAATAAACTTTTAAAACTCCTTCTGGGTTTTCATTCCAACCAATTAAGTACACAAAGGGGCTAGGCTATCAGAAGCAAAAAGTGTTGGGGCAGATGTTGAAGGAGGAATGTGAAGACAATTCACAAGGTTGTGTACATGATTTCTAAAGGGGAAAAGGATGAGAAGAGTTTGAGACTGACACATTGGGACAAAAATGAAGGATGAGAGCTGATAGAGAGGAGAGAATTGTATCCTACAGTTTAGAAACAAAGAGGGAGAGAGGTGGAATTGGAAAAACAGAAAAAGGGAGAAACTTAAGTGCTGACAAGTTTCCCATGTGTGACCCTAAGATAAAAACTCCGTTTTGGGAGCCTAGTTTAGTTTGTCAGTCTATATGTTCTAAGAACATTGACAGATTGTTTACATGCTTGTTACTGTTTCTAATCATGTCACTTGATCCATGTTCCTTTAGATAAAAGACCCTAAGTCCTGCACTCTGGAAAATAGTATATGTTAGAGAGAGTAGGTCTGGTCATACAATTAAAGTTATTATTTAACATATTTTTGTGAGTGATAGCATGATTCTACTTTGTTTCTGCTAAGGGTCAGAGGATAAAAATAACAATAACAGCAACAGTGTAGCATAATGGCTATATCAAAGCAAGACCCTACTGGTTTTCAGCTCTGTTACTTTCTATACTATACAAATTAAGCTCACTGAGGATGTGAGGATGATTATGATAATAGTGCCAACCATAGTGATTGCTATGAGGGTTCAATAAATTAATATGCATATGAGGCAAAGAAGAATGTTAGGCATATAATATACTATCAAAATATTACCTTATTAATAAAATAATAGAGTATCAACTAGTAAAGTATATGTACCAGGCACTTGACATGTACAATCTAATTAAATCCTCACAGCAACATTATAGGGCATTATTCTCTTCTCGAAGATGAGATTTCTGAGGTTCAAAGAAGTTAAACAATGTACTTAAGGTCACATAGCTATTAAGTTGGGGTGAGAGAGGCTGGGATTAAGAATGTTGTCCTGGTGGGGCGGGGGATCACACACTTTGGGAGACTGAGGCTAGAGGATTGCCTTGGGTTCATGGGTTTGAGATCAGACTGGGCAATTTGGCAAGACCTCATCTTTACAATAAATCAAAAAATTAGCCAGGTGTGGTGGCTGCGCCTGTGGTTCCAGCTACTTGGAAGGCTGAGGTGGAAGGATCGCCTGAGCCCAGTAGTCTGTGGTGGTCGGTGAGTATAGCACTGCACTCTAGCCTGGTGACAGTGAGACTCTGACTCAAAAAAAAAAAAAAAAAAAAAAAAGAATTTTGTCCTACCTGATTCTAGAGCCTGAGTGTGGCCTCACAATTAGGCCATAACGCCAACTTATTACCAGACCTTCTTTCAGGTGTTGTGAAATTGGATATTTTATTCCTTTAGAATGCAATTGGGTGTTGAGTCCAAAGAGAAAAAGTGTACATTATATTGTATATTTATATTCTTTACTAAGTGAATATTTGTATGTTTTTAGTAGCAAGTGACAGAACCTGAGAAATATCCGTAGGCTCAACTTTACTGCCAGTCAAGTAAATGGCAATCAGGGACAATGATAAACTTGTGTGAGATAGTTCCCAATCAATCCAATCCATCATATCTATCCTATGAGCAATGGGAGATTTATTTTTATCTCACAAATGAGGGTGAGCTTGGCTAGAGCAATGTTACATTATTTAGTTTAGGGTAATCTCCTGTAGATGAAGAAAAGGTTCCGTTAAAAACCCACTTGTCCTTGGTTGTCATTTCACATATTTAACTGCCCTCTTTACTGCACCTGGCCCAAGCCCTATGCAAGCTGGCTTCAGATTGAGGGCAAGGCAGTCTAGTTAGTTTGGGCAAGGGGGACGGGGGGCAGGGTAGGGCAGGAGAATTGCAGACCCAGAGGTTGAGAAAGAAAAAACTTTCTTTGATTTGTAACTAGTAGGAAACTGACACAAACTTCCTGTGGCGTGAAAGGAACATGGACATACACACACAAAAAACAGATAAAAGTCAGCACTCTCTACCCTCCAGTGCATCTTTCTCTTGGAGATTTCCCACACTCCTCTCTTGAGTGTGTACTTTTGGTTCAAATTAAAGCTTCTTTTACTTTGTGTGACTGGTCTTTGAATTATTTCCTGAGATGAAATCAAGAGCCTAGCCCTGGTCAGGTTGAAGGTTGCACCTCTTGGTGGTCTGGTGAGAAGCAAGAGAAAAGGTATTCCAGAGGCATCTTGATTAAGTAGGCCAGAGCTCTTCAAACTTTAATATACATATGAGACACCTGGAGATCTTGTGTTTTTTTGTTTTGTTTTTTGAGAACTTTTAAACTGCAGATATAGTTGGTCTCAGGTGCAGCCTGAGATCTGCATTTTTTTTTTTTTAAAGTATAATTTCCATTTTATTTTTTTCCAGGTGATAGTTGTTCTTCAGTCCTTAAGAACTCAGCTCCTTACATGGGCTTTGGTAGAGGTCATGGGGCAGCACCCGCAGGTCTAAATCGGGGTGGGGGTGTTCGGTTCTTGCAGACTTCACCAGAACGATTCCTGACTACCTTGCTGTGAATGGTACAACTCACAGTGATGCAGCTTCACACACAGCTTGGGAAGCACACTGGTGTCGAAGACACTCGCTTCGGAAATGTCCCTAACAGTTGTGGACTCCACTATGTTTCGATTGACGAATTTCTTTTCTTTTTTTTTTGAGTTGGAGTCTCACTCTGTCGCCCACACTGGAGCGCAGTGGCCGCTCCCGGCCACCGCCGCCTCGACCTGCTGGGCTCCGGCGATCCTTCTGCCTCAGCCTTCCAAGGAGCTGGAACTACAGGCGCGCGCTACCACGCCCGGCTAATTTTTGATTTATTGTAGAGATGAGGTCTTGCCAAGTTGGCCAGGCGGGTCTCGAACCCGCGGGCTCAGGCAAATCCACTCACCTCGGCCTCCCAAAGTGCTGGGATTACAGGCTGAGCCACCGAGCCCGGCCGAATTTCTGACTTACCCTTGGGCACGCATCGTGAACTGTTCCTGCAGCGGATGGGCTGCACGTGGCCGGCCCTTTTTGGCACGACCATTGTTCCGTCCTTTCTTTGTCATCTTGGAAGCGGAGGAGGATCTGGCGGCTGGCAGGGTCTTCTTGAATTGCGCCAGGTCTCTACGCTCACAGCGGAAGAATTTTTAGGAGACGTGCACCAAAAACTGCAACCCACTGTACTCAATTTTTAAGAATTATTCAGGCTTTCTGCTTAAATCTAGGTCGGAACGGCGTTCCTAGGGTTTATTAGTGGAACAAAGCCCATGGGACTATTTGGCCTGCTGACTGAAGAAAATTAGAGTAGTATGTCTCCCAGCATACATCGCGACGACATGCACCCAAGATCTGCATTTCAAATGAATTCCTGGATTATCTCACGCAATCAACGCTACATCTATTTTACAAGGAAGCATCTATTTTACTAAGGCTCAGAAGGGTCAAATGCATTTCCCAAGGCTGTAGTCTAGTAACTGACAGGGAATGCAATTCTGTCTGGCAAACTCACTCATCAACCTAAAGATACTTCCATTTTCTCCCTTATGAACCTTCCACATTCAACTTCCTTAGAGTTTTCCTGCTCCTTAAAAGGACAACAAAGTTTTTTCCATACCCAACTCTTCCCAAATCAGAATGTGGCTTATTTGTGATCTTTGAGAAACAAGAGTTCCGAAAACAACTAGCTTCATCAGTTTATTTATCCTATGAACCTCCTCCCATTTGACCTGTTGACTTCTTTTCCTGCTTTTCCATGATACAGCAATCCTACTGAATTAGAATTGGTGGTGGGTCTGAGAAGGCAGTGGAAAATTGATGCTTTCCAAAGTTTGACATTACTGCTTTAGCGTTAAAAGACTCAGGCTAATTACTGTATAGCAAATTACGAGATCCTAGGTTGAGGTTTTTCTCCTGTTCACTCAAAGGAGATTTTGGTATCTACCTGCCTAAGTATGCTTGACATGAAAAGGGCTCGATACATTGCTGTTGAATAAAAAGGTACTGGGGAATTGGCATCTAAAGGCAGTAAACAAAAAGTCACGGTTAGGGTTAGATCCATAGTTTAAGTTGTTCCCTGATTTCAAAGACATGCCACCTGCTTATAATACAGAGAATAGATTTAGTTCCATATTTACAGCGAAGCATAATATTCGCAAATGTAGATAAGAGGGATAAGAAGCAGTACTAATCAATCAAGAATTCTCTCTCCAATAATTCATGGTTGCTGGAAAACTCAGTCGGAGGGGAAAAAGTTTAAAATCTAGGTTGTCAGGAGTGGGATTCGAACCCACACCTCCAGGGGAGACTGCGACCTGAACGCAGCGCCTTAGACCGCTCGGCCATCCTGACACACTGCACGGAACTTTTCCTATTTTCCTATAAATTTAATAATACTGATGGAACAGGCTGTCAGACCCTATAATGTTGTGTCTAGTTCATTTAGTGTTTCAAATAAAACTCGAACTCTCTCTGGACCTCTTCACAAAGCCGGAAAAACAAAACTCTCCGACAGTTCTTTCCTATTTCCTACTCCTCACTACCCTAGCCCTTAAAGCTCCGTTTTCCCGGACGCCTCTTCGTACGCTCCTCTCCTCTACAGGGTCTGAGACATGCCAGGGAGGCCCCTGTGCCGGCCGGTCTCCCTCGGATTCTCTGCACCAAATCGCCGTTACTGAATCCGGCACCCCGTGAACCCCGTGCGGGGCCTCGAGGAGCTGGGAGCTGGAAGCGCCGGGACGTGAGGGACACAGGGATGAAAGAAGGCCGCGGAGGAAAACACCAAAGGAGGAAACACGCTCGGCTCCTCCCCGGCCCCGCCCTCCGGCTTTCGGCTAGGTGGCTTCTGCGTTCACCGTTCCGCACCCTTTGCTGGCAAGGTCGACTACGGGGAGTCCGTGCTCAACAAACGACGAAGACTTTATGCATTTTGCCTGGGGGTCATAAATATGAAACGCTACTGAGAGCATCGGGAAAAAAAAAAAAAAAAAAAAATCATGATCTGATGTCTTTTATATATGGAATTTGAAAGCTGTTAAGAAGAATGGCGTTGGTGGTATAGTGGTGAACATAGCTGCCTTCCAAGCAGTTGACCCGGGTTCGATTCCCGGCCAGCGCATAACGTTTTCTTCCTTCTCCCTCTGAAATTCTTTTGAGAGATGCAGCTCGTGATTAGTATTTTGTGCCTAAACAAAACTATTTAACTGCAGTCATATCTCATATTCTCATCTCGCTTGTTACTTTTCCTCTAGCCTCTTTCTCTTCCTGGGCTTGTTTTGACGGCATTAGATTCTGGTTTTCTTTCCTTCCTTTCTCTCTTTCTTTTTGAACTTCCAACTCTTGAGTAATCTTTGGGATTATCTGGATTCTAGGATCTCTTATCTGAATCTCAACCTCGGAAAAGGGGTCTTTATCTTCGAGGTTATTCGGTGGCCATGAACTATGGAGAACTTGAAACTGGCGAGTACGTCAAGGAATTGCATATTTACATTAAATTAAATCGATACATTAATCGAAATAAAGTAATTAAATAAATGAATAAACAAGTGGAAAATTTTAAATGAGTACTAAATTCAGCTATTGGAGACTGTTTAGGTGCTTGTGGAACAATTTGGGTGTATATATCTACTTTTTCTACTGTAAATTTTATAAACTCTAAGTTCTGATTTTTTTTCTGATAAAAATCTAAAATCCGAGTTGAAATGTGCTGTCTGTAAGTGTAAAATACACACCGTAAGAAAAAAGCTAATTAATTATATTTTTATATTGATCACACGTTGAAATAATATTTTGAGGCAACCCCCTCGAGTTGCTGTGGGAGCTTTTCTGTCCTCTCAATAAATCCTGCTTTCAAAAAAAAAAAAAAGAACATTTTGAATATATTGTGTGAATAAGATTAATTATTACAATTATTATCACCTCTTCCTTTTTACTTTTTTAATGTAGTTATTCAGCAATTATAAATTACAGGTGGGCTTCGCATTCTATTGTAATGTGTCGGTGTGGAGAATGAGTAATGTGGTGCAATTTTGACCAACTTTCCGCGGAAGTATATTGAAAGCTTAGATACACACACCTTCCTAAGTAGAAATTTCAAAACGTTTCGCGTGGTTGTCCTCGTTAGTATAGTGGTGAGTATCCCCGCCTGTCACGCGGGAGACCGGGGTTCGATTCCCCGACGGGGAGACCAATGGACAGCTCTTTTCCTGCCGTTCGTCATTTAAATAATATTACATTTATTCCAAGCGTATGTCTTTCACATGAGAGTAGACACGCACAAGAGTACGAGTGGATCCAGTTACTTTCACCCTGATTTTGCATTAGAGACGTTGAGTGAATAAACTTGCAGCCCTTCCCCCAGCCGCCATTGAAAGGGTTTGACGCTGGAAGAATCATCGTGCATATCCATACCTCCCTGCTGCCCTCTGGAAGGGAATCCTAGGGTCCATGGTTTGCCTGAAATCCTGGACTCAGTAGTTCCACCTTGCCATCTCCGGCACCGATGACTCCGTAAGCGAGCCCTCCTTCTTCATTCCTCCCGTTATATACTGCTAGTCAGCAGTGGCCATCCTAAATTCTCAAGTCCACACTCTTCCACTGCCCTGCTGCACCAAGATGTGCAAACTTGTGAAACATCTACCCTACAACGGGAGATGGGTATAACCAAGTCAGAAAGAAGCACTGCTCTGACAATCAGGAGCCATTTTTTTTTTTTAATCGAAAGTTTTGGTTTGCAAGTTACTTAACTTCTCTGACCGCTTAAGTTTCTTAATCTGGAAAACGGAGAAGCGTTTCAAACTCCTTTGAGACTCAGCAGCACTAGAGTCCTTTGAAGTAGCTCCCTTCACTAGGAAGAGTGAGGTTTTTGCAGCCAAATGCACTTTGTTTTTGTTTTTGGTTTTTTGGTTTTTACTTTTTTGAGTCGGAGTCTCACTCAGTCGCCCAGACTGGAGTGCAGTGGCCGCTCCCGGCCACCGCAGCCTCGACCTGCTGGGCTCCTGCGATCCTCCCGCCTCAGCCTTCCGTGTAGCTGGAACTACAGGCGCGCGCTACCACGCCTGGCTAATTTTTGATTTATTGTAGAGACGAGGTCTCGCCAAGTTGCCCAGGCGGGTCTCGAACCGAATGGGCTCAGGCAATCCACTCACCTCAGCCTCCCAAAGCGCTGGGATTACAGGCTGGGCCACTGAGCCCGGCCCAAATGTACTTTGAACATCAGTTCTTCCACGCAGTTAGCTCTTTGACCTCGGGCCAGTCGTTGACTCTTTCTGAGCCTCATTTCCATCATCTAGGTGTATATATGTATATATTAAAAAGGTGATAATTATATCTATTCTAAGTGACTGTTTTGAGAGTAGAAGAGTATATCTGTAGAAGCACCTGATATGCTCATTTTTACAAAATATATTATGTCTTCTGTATGGAATATTTACACATAATCCTTGTAAAGAAATATGGAAAATAAGTAAATCACAAACAAATAAAAGGTACCCACCCATATTTCCATCATCTAGGAAACCCCTGTTAATATTTTGCTGTGCGTTCTGCCTCAGCTGGGACTACAGGTGTGAGCCACTGTGGACTCTTTTTGTTTGTTTAAATGCAAAGTTGGAGTCAAACTCAGCATAGTGTTTTTTTGTTTGTTTAATAGACTATTTTTTAGAGCAGTTTTAGGTTCATAACAAAATTGAGAGGAAGGTTCAGAGACTTCCCAAATATCCCTACCCCAACACATGCATAGCCTCCCTCACTGTTAATATACTCCACCAGGGGATACATCTGCTACCACTGAGGAAAATACATGACACATCATTATTGTCTGAAGTCCGTAGTTTACATTACAGTTCACTCTTAGTGTCTAATATTTTATAGTTTTGAACAAATGTTTGCAAACCTTTTTTAACCTGCGTGATTTTTTTACTTTAAAATGTGATGACTATTTCTACATTCATTAAATATTAGTTTAAAGCATTACTTTAATAACTTCACTATACTATATTTGCCCGCATCACAATTTCTTTAACAAATCTCCAATTTTTGAACATTTATGTTGTTCCTGGTGTTCTTCTAC